CCAACTTCGTTTCCTGACGCCTGATTCAAAGACTCTTGTGAAAGCTCTCCTTGCAAGGATGACCGTTAGCCCCAAGAAGAATAAGCGGTTCTTTACCTGGTATCGTCAAAAAAGGCGATCTTGAAGGCCCGGATATCCACATCTGTGTGAGCTTTGGCCAGCATGACCACCTCTCCTCCACGGCTCACCTGGATGGTGTTCCACACCACCACCACCTGCCAAGAAGGTACGCAACGGCTGCTAGAGAGATCTTTCCTTGACGGGAGAAGCCCGATCAAATCTACCACTAAAATTCTTCCACAACTCCCAAATCCATTCTTCTTTAACCAAGCTCAGAATTAACGGCTTTAAAGAAATACCTTAGCTCAGAACTTTCAAGGAAGGGAGGGTGGACTGAAGAAGACATCTCGGCAAAGAGCTGGCAACTGTGGCAAAGAGCAAGGGGCCACGGAGTAAACTGGTTCCTTGGAACCCTCTTTAGATAAGGAGGGGGATGAAATTGCCCACATAGACTCTGGGCATCTGCTCCCCGTAAGGAGACCGCAGGACAGCAATTGTCTGTCTAGCAAAGGGTAAATGCTCGCCTATGGTGGCAAGTCAATACTTGGGTTCTTCCCGGTTTGTCAATGAAGAGAAGATTCAGGCTCTTCACAGTTGAGTCAAAGTAACACAAACTTATACATTTACCTACCCGAAAATATGACCTACCCTGAAAGTTAAGTCCTGGCTTGATTTTTACATGGGTGCCCAATATAAGCCCTACCCCCCCATAAAATAAGCCCTAATTAAGACCCCGCCCACTCCAGGATACACGGGTAAAAATTAAGCTAGGGTGGGGATGGGAGTGGTGGAGCAGCCCTACTACTTACCTTCGGACAGTTGCAGGCAGGTCTTGCACTCCCCGATACCTGCCTTGCCGGCCCATTTCTTCTGCAGCCTGCAAGGCCAGCAAGTCTTTCCTGAAGTCCTCTGCAGCCGATAACAGAGCTCTGGATCGATCTGTAGCTCTGTTATCAACTGCAGATGCCTTCAGGAAAAGCTGGCTGCAGAAGAAGTTCCTGAAGACCTCTGACAACGAAAGGGAGACGGAGGGCAATGCACGCAAGTGAGGTTAGTCAGTGGATGACATCCCCCCGCAAAATAAGACCTGGTGCCTTTTTTGGTGGCAAAAAATAATAATAATAATAAGACAGGGTCTTATTTTGGGGGAAACACGGGCATGATATTTTGAATGCTGCTCTAAACCCTAAAAATGAAAAGGAACACTGGGATCTGAACAAACGGAAACAAATCAGAGTAGTGCCATTTTAGAATATTCTGATGGGGATAGGAGTCTAGTTGCTCTATAAGTGCTACAAAGCTAGACTCAGATGAAGTAACATCATCAATACAATAGTTGGATAATGAAACATCTGCAAGAAAACAGCCAAGCTCAGAGAGCATCAAGGATCCTGCAGTTTAACCCTGAGTAATAAATGTTGTCTTCAATTTAAAAATTAGGTGACACTAATCAGAAAAAAAACAGCATCTTGGAGCGACTGTATCTGTGGTCCATTCTAATGTATGAAAGGATGGCATCAAAATATCAGCACTTGAACAGCTCCACCACCGTCCAGAGCAAATACAGAAAGGAAAGCAACTCTAACAATGTTTAAAAGTCCCTACTGGAATCCAGGTTCTGCCTGGGCGGAGATCTCCAGCCACGAGAAATCTAGCATTTTGATCTCTGGGAATAAGTAGATGGGATGACGAATACATGACCAGGACTCCCTTACCTCCACTCCACAACCAGTTCTGGGCATTTGCCTTGACTTTAGATGAAACCAACTGACAGTTAAATCAATTCACAAGTGAGTTAAATATGAGCAAGTCACGAATCAAATCACCAAAAGCACAAATCAGGAAAAAAAAATCTCAACCGCTTTGGAAGGGAGAGGGAATTTTTTTCGGCCCCCAGCATTGTTTCCCAAGTCCCCAACCACCACAAATCTTGTTTGGGACCAGGGAAAGGCTAGAGATACCTCTGCAGATCCTGGGAGCTACAGATGTCCCATGGAGACCTCCGAGGTAACGTGATAAAAGAAGCAAGTGACGTGAGGAAAACCCTCACTACCTTCATATGTTCTACGAACAAAATGCCAATTTACTCACCGTCTTCCCACGTTTGTCTTTCCCGGTGCCACAAAGGACATTTCCACTGTATGAAAAACTGGGGGAGAAAAAAAATGGCAGGTAGAGCCCAGCATTTCTAGTTAAGTAAAAATAAGCTACTGACGGCTGTTATAGCTTAAGAATTGGAGACGCCACAGCCTGTCAGGACAGATAATGGAGATCTGTCAGAGAATTTGATATATCGGACGTTCCATGAACTATTCCAAGGAAACTCAGTGCAGACCATTAATTGAATTCTTCATCACCAAATATAGAAGTCATTCATTCATTGATTCATTCATTGATTCATTCATTGATTCATTCATTCATGGTTTGTTTTATTGTCTATGTATGCAGCCAGGCCATTGAGATTTCAGTGACTTGCAACAACCTACTAAAACACAATAAAATGTCCTCCAATAAATAAAAACAACAAAATACAACAGAAAAGAAGAACCAGTAACATGATAGCTAATAACAGATGAGAAATCAGAAAGTCCAGTTGCCTTTAAAATAAAAGCACCCTTGGGACAGCCATGATCTGGACGAATAAGAACCTCCGTAGACAACATATCTTTTAAAAAAAACTTTGTGTAAAAATGGCAAATGTTCATTCTCCAAGAGCCATATTTGGTTTTCAAACGCTTCCAAAGGACGTTCACAAAGAGGCCAAACTAATATCTGTTGGAAGGCTGTTCCATGATAGAAAAGCCACACTTGGTATATCCTCAGCCCCCTCAACACACTGACGTGGGAGACTATGAGGTCTTACAGCTTACATTCTCCCACCCTTTTTCCGAGGTGCCCAGCACTTACCTGAGGCACGAGATGGAATGGATCCCAGTTTTAAACACGCAAAGGCACTTCCCACTTGGGAAGTCCCAGAGACGCACTACGCTCATTTCTCCCATCTGCGCGGATGCCAGCAAAGTGCTTTTGTTGTTGAACGCCAGTGCTGCCACCTACAAAGCAAATTTAGTTTAGTTTAGTTTATTTAGTTTACTGTCATTGCACATCATACAATGAAATTAAATACCATCGTCAGTGTACTATACAGTAGAATTCAATAGCGTTACTGCCCTGGGATAGAAGCTGTTTTTTAAGCCTATTTGTCCTTGTTTTTATTATCCTGACCTGTCTGCCAGATGGTAATAATTCAAAAACAGGGTTCCCAGGAGGAGATGGATCTTTGAGGATGTTTTGAACTTTCTTAAGGCAGTGGGAGCTATAAAGCTCTTCCAAAGAGGGAAGAGGGCAACCCATGATCCTCAGGGCAATGACGTTAACCCCCTGGAGTGCTTTCCTATCTGCCACTGTGCAATTGGCAAACCATACAGAGGTGCAGTAAGTCAAGATACTCTCTATAGTGCAGCGGTAGAAGATCATCAGCAGTTTTTCATTCCGTTGTTTTCTGAGAAGTCTCAGGTAGTATAATCTCTGATGGGCCCTTTCAACCAGTGCTGCAATGTGAGCCCCCCAGGTCAGGTCCTCTTTTATGGTAACACCCAGAAACTTAAAACTGGCCACTTGCTCCACTCGGTCTCCATTGATAAGCAAGGGCTGGATGTCTGATCTGTTCCTTCTATAGTCCACTATAAGCTCGTTAGTCTTATTGGTGTTGAGGACCAAGTTATTATCTCCACACCATGAAAGCAACCGGTCCATCTCATCTCAGTAGGCAGACTCATCCCCCCCAGAGATGAGTCTCACCACTGTTGTATCATCTGTAAATCAAATCAGGCCACTGTCTGTGCAAAGGGTTTCCAGCAGTATGGGGAAGTTGGGTCACACACTTGGGAGTATTACCCGAACCAAAAGGATGCAAGGATACAGGGCAAGAACAAAAGAAGATCGGCAATGAAAAGACTTAGGAAGGCAAATGCTGATCTGACAGCATTCTGAAAATCAAGACACATGTGTGAAAAATTGATATCAGGTGAGTAACTAATATGAATTCCCAGTACTGGCTGGGGAATTCTGGAAGTTGACATCTACAAATGTTAAAACTTGCCTATTCTAAGAAACACGAATCTAGACATTTCCCATAATACATTCTTTCAACGTTAGAGACATGCCTATGTTTGGAATGACTTCTATGTTAAAGCATAGGACAAAAGGAGAAGAAAATACCTTGTCGGTGTGGCCAGCAAAAAACCTCTGTTTGCCAGAATCAATTGTTATGGCTACAATCAGAGCGTGGCAAGGGTAAACAACTACAGAACTGCCGGAAGCCCACAATGCCTGGGTGAAAAAAAAGATGATGTCACAACCTTCATAACAGAGATGCCCCTTCTGAGGCCCTGGGGCTGCTGGGACACCCAAATGGCACACAGGTGCCTCTCAATCTTTAACGTCATTGTGAATAAGATACAAAATGAACAATATTGTATATATTAGCAGAATGAATTCATACAAACTAGGTTTAATTGGAGGTCAAATGTAAGCTTTACCCTGGCTTAATCTATTAGCTTTGCAAACATGGCTTCTTGCATGTCTATTCCAAGATCTAGAGGAATCTTACAACATCCTAGTCCTAGAATAATGTTTCATTTTGCTTGGAAGCCTGCTTGAATCACGATAATGCTGCATGTTTATCTTGCTTTCTCGTCGAAGGCACTCAAACTGGCACATATGGTTTTTCTTCCCTCGCTGGAGAGAAATATGCTGGTTAAATAAGGATATACTGACCCATTTGGTGCTGCAACCCCCAAACCCAATAATCTTCTTTAGCTTCAGAATTGGATCCGGTAGCAGCGTCTGAAAACCAATCCAGAGTTACATTGAATCAGGAAGCATCAAACGTGAAAGGCATCCATCTGCATCAACACAAACAATAACTTTCTAGTGTGGCTCTGCTTTTTTTTCGTTAAAGAAGAGGTGGACAACCCCTGGGCCATATATAATTCAGCCTTCCTGAACTGTGGCCACTTTAAGATGCGTGGACTTCAACTCCCAGAATTCCCTAGCCAGTATGTTTGGAAAAACAATTGATCGAGATGGGTCAACAGCCTGATCTGGTTCGCCGGCAGCCGGTGAAGAACAGCAGCGGAATCGGACAGTGGGGAAGAATGGGGACCAGCCAGGGTGTCTGGAGAGGTCTCGGACGAGGGTCCTGCGTCCAATGCAGAGATGGGGCCAAGACCATCTGGGAGTGGGGTGCTGCCTCTGGAGCCTTCGGAGTCTGGCAGCAGTGAGGAAGAGGAGCAAAGGGAGCCTATTCCCAGAGCGCGTTTGCACAGAGCTGCTAGAAGGCAAGAGCAGCTGAAGCAGGAGCAACTCAGGAGTAAGGCTGGGAGGTGATTGCCCCTCCCATAAGGGATAAAAGTCAGGCCAAGATGATGAAACCTTTGGAGGAAGCAAAGTAGTAGTTCAATCCGTTCCGAGTCATCCTTGAAGCTCTTTTGTACTTCGGTTGTTTTTTCTGGTATCTCATTTGGTTTCTTTTTTAGTTCATTTGATACTTCTGTTTTTGGCAGCACTTCACAGAACTGAAAAGTGTGTGCTATATCTTGAGGGACTGTTTGAGATTCATTCCGGCTGGGAATGAAAACAATTCCCAGCATTGCAATAAAGTAAGTCTTGTTTTTAAAACAAGTTTGTGAATAATTACAGTTTGCAAAGCCTGGGTCAGAACAGGTATGACGCATCTTCCATCATTTATCATTGGGCCCATTTTCCCACTGCTTATAGCTAGAACTAAAATATCATCAGTCACAGAAAGGAACTGATGGTAGGAAGGGAAAAATGAAAGAGGTGGAGACTTCTGTAACCCTGACACGATTGTATCTCCACAGGTGAGCGAGTCTCCTTCCACAAAAGAAGGGGAGCCTTCAGCGGTCCATCTTGCAAAAGAGTAAAATTGCTTCTTACCGTGCAGGGAACAGAACTCTTGGCAGAGATGGTCTTCGGCCCTGCTGTCGGCATATATTGGTTCTGGAGAAACCCGGGACATGTTAAAGGTTGGGGGCAAAGGGAATGGCAGGGACAAAAAAAGAATGTTACAAGTTGGTTTGGGTTAAAAAAAAAAAAGTTTTTTGTTAAGTCATATTAAACTGAGAAGCGGCACATTCAAAGCCCCTGTCACAGCTGTTTCGGGTATTCAACAATTCTTCAGAGACGTATGTTAACTAGCTGGATACCCTTAGTTCACTACAAAACTATGCGATCGGGCTTAGTTTTGGGGGAGGAAAATAAGGGGAGGAAATTCTGCCTCTGCCTATCAGCATCCATCGGTATTCATCTGGCTAGCGTCCTGTCAGTGTGTGAGAGAGTTGAGGGCTGTTTGGAAACTGAAAGAGTATTTGCTGTGTGAGCAAAAAGAACACAGCAAGGAGCCTGGGTGTGGCTTAGCTCAACTGTTCTGTACTAAAGCTGCTTGCTGCTGTGAAACTGAAACGGAACCTCCTCTCCTCTGCTTGTGTTTTGCATTTGGAAGATATTTCTTTTCAGGTGGGGAGGGGGAGTAGAACTCCTTAGCATCAGATAATATACGAAATATTAATGCTCTGATAGTCATTTCGAAAAATCCTTTCTTAGTGAGCCCCTAGAAGCCAAGAGGAACATAACGTGCCAAATTGCAAGTTTGTAGGCCTTACGGTTCTGGAGATTTTGTGATGTTGCGTGAGTGGTATTATGCTTTTATATAGATAGATAAAGACCACAAGCAAAAGTTTAAATAAAGTTTCCTTGTGAATTGTTCCATGATTTTCCATGAAAGTTCTAGCGGAGCTAGTTCGCCCCATGGGTCAGCCTAGATAAGTGCATGAGTGTGAACTAAATAAATTAGCCATCTTCAGCAGCCAAATAACTACTATGTACTAATATTGTAGTCTCCTGATTAACCGTACCATCACCATATGCTTAGTAAAATAATTGTGGCAACTGATATGCTTCTTTTACAATATTACATTATTGCATAATTTACATTATTTACAATAATGTTTTCTTAAAGATAGCAACAATAGAAGGATGGGCAAATTACCTGAGGTTTGTTAATTATGAATATTTATGTTCACATCCTCTGTTATTGATAAACGGCTATCATTTTTTCCTCCTTTTTGAAAGGTCCTCTGGAAATATGAGCGCATCCTTTTGTCCGCAGGAGTTTCTCCCCACTATATTCTGGAGGGAATTCCCCCATTACACACTCTGATAATAAATACTGCAGGGAGCCCTGATTATTTGCTTTGGGTCCTGTGTTTTGATTCCGTCTCTCACCCGTGGTAAGAATTCCTCAAGAGATTTATTTTCTCTCTCCCCCTTTTTCCAAATTGAAACCTATGGTTGTGTTAAAGGGGAACAATTGTCCACAGGAATGCCTAAGGAAGAATGGCTCGGAGTTGCGGCTTACCTCGTCAGAGTCAATGGTAACCGCGCGGACTGCGTCGTCCCCATTGTTGTGGGCGTAAACATGAATGCTGCCATCGTCCATCGAAGAGGGGGGAAAACAGGAATCTCCTCTGGCCCGTGACCCTTCTCTCAGGCTCTGGTCCACAACGCAGGATGTCCACACAGGCTCGGACCTTGATGGGTGAATCTTGGGGATGTGCTTGGTAAGAAGGGGAGACTGTCGAGGCATCTTTCCAAAAAAAAAAAAAAAGTTTTGGAAAGTGGAGGCCAAACCCAAAAGATGACCCTTTCTTCAGCAAGAAGCAACAGAGCTGCGGGTTATCGGGTTATCAGGGGACATTAGCAAGCTAAGCTTTGAGCCACGGTGGCACAGTGGTTAGAATGCAGCACTGCAGAGGCTACTTCTGCTGACGGCCGGCTGCCTGCAATTTGGCAGTTCGAATCTCACCAGGCTCCAGGCTGACTCAGTCTTCCAACCCAACCATAATTGACTGAGCTAATGATATGTTATGATGTATGTTATGAGGAGCAGTGGTTAGAGTGCAGAACTGCAGGCTACTTCTGCTGACTGACTGCAATTTGGCAGTTTGAATCCCATCAGGCTCCAGTTTGACTCAGCCTTCCATCCTTCCGCAGTGGGTAAAATGAGGACCCAGATTGTTGGGGGCAAGAGGCTGACTCCGTAAACCGCTTAGAGAGGGCTGTAAAAGCACTGTGAAGCAGTATATAAGTCTAAGGGCTATTGTCCGACCTCCCTCCCTCCCTCCCTCCCTTCCATCCATCCATCCATCCATCCATCCATCCATCCATCCATGGTACACAGCGGCTAGAACGCAGTATTGCAGGCAAACTCTGCCAATTGCCAGCAGTTCGATCCTGACTAGTTCCAAGTGGACTCAGCCTTCCCTCCTTCCGAGGTGGGTAAAATGATGACCCAGTTTGTTGGGGGCAAGAGGCTGACTCCGTAAACCGTTTAGAGAGGGCTGTAAAAGCACTGTGAAGTGGTATATAAGTCTAAGGGCTATTGCTATTTGAAGCAGATGAGTGAATTCTGTGCAGGGAGTCCTTGACGTACAACCACAATTAAGCCCAAAATTTATGTTGCTACGGTGAGACAGTTGCAAATTTTGCCCCGTTTTACAAATCTTGCCACAGCCGCTAAGTGAATCACTGCAGTTAAGTTAGTAACATGGTTGTTAAGTGAATCTGGCTTCCCCATTGACTTTGCTTGTCGGAAGGTCACAAAAGGGGATCATGTGACCCTGGAATACACACTAGTTGCCAAGCATCCAAATTTTGACCATGTGTCCAATGGTCATAAGCCTGAAAAAACAGCCATAACTCCCTTTTTTCAGTGCCGTCGGTCACTAAAGGAATGGTTGGAAGGACTTCCTGTACAGCTCTGGGTGTTAAGAAAGAGCAAAGCTTACCTACCTCTTTGGGACTGGTGATTTGCTGGATGAGAGACACCCGGTCCCGCACTGGCTTGCTCAGAGACACGTCCTTGGGAATCTGGGTCACTGGCTCGTCTTTGGGACAGCCGGTTGAAAAGAGGGAAGGAAAGCAAAGAAGAAAGACCTCAGGACATGGAGCTTGCAGTGCCTGCTGGTGTGTGAGTTGCTCGGAGGTGCCTCAGTTATCCTGTCAACTCATTGAAACATTTCTATGGTCTTTTTAAAGTAGCCAACAGAAAGGGAGGAGGGAGCAGTGTGGCAACTTGCAAACCGAAACTACATTCCATAAATGTTTTCAAAGATAGCAACTAGGTGACTGAAGTTTCTGCCTCACAAAATTCTAACTGGAGAGACTGATTGATGGCTCTTGGCTATGGAGGTGTCCCATTGGAGAATATGAATTATGATACACCCAGGGGCGGGGGAAAACCAGGGTCAAGGGTGACAATGAATGACGTGTCTCAGAGTCGGCTACACCCAGGCAGTGCTGGACATATTAACTACCAATAAATCTTGTTTTAAGTTTTGGAAGTTTAGCTCGAGACTCATGATTTAATGGGGGTAACGGCCGGAATCCTGACATATCTTTGGATGGTCCTTCTCAACTCTGTTTTGCCCTATTTTTGTATTGGCTTTTGATTTTGGTTTTTCTATAGGACTTGTTAAAAAGGTAAAGGTTCCCCTCGCTAGTCGTGCTAGTCGTTCCCGACTCTAGAGGGCGGTGCTCATCTCCGTTACAAAACTGAAGAGCCAGCACTGTCCGAAGACGTCTCAGTGGTCATGTGTCCGCCATGAGTAAATGCCAAAGTCGCATGGAACGTTGTTACCTTCCCACCAAAGGGGCCCCTATTTTTCTACTTGCATTTTTTACATGCTTTTGAACTGCTAGGTTGGCAGAAGCTGGGACAAGTGATGGGAGCTCACTCCGTTACGCGGCGCTAGGGATTCGAACCGCCGACCTTTCTGATCGACAAGCTCAGCGTCTTACTTCTGGTACCTTACATTTTTTGTGCCCAACCCAGAATTACTTGGATAAGATGGGGAGTCATATATATGTTTCGAATAAGTAAAGGTATAATTAGCATCATGGCTCATTATCAATTTCCTTCTTCTAGAACTGCTTTCAGTCTGTGATCTAGGACAGTGGTCAGCAACCAGTGGGCTGGGAACCACTGGTATTCTGCAAGAAAATTTTGGTGGTCCACAGAGAAATGTTCCCCCCAAAGCAATTAATCCAAGCTTCACAGGAACACAAGGCTGCACTGCCCATATGGCCTGCCAACCAGCTAGCCCCACCCTTCAGCTGAGCACAAACCTTACCTTGAGTAGAGCCACACAAACTGGAACTGGAAGGTAAGACCAACGGCGGGGGGAGGGGGAAATCCACCCCAGGGTAGCTTGCTGACGTTGGTGGGAAAGTCGGTCCCATATTCCAGAGCTGCAGTAGTCACAGGACTGGTCCTTTGGTCATCCCGGAGCAGCTCCTCCAGTCCATGGCAGGCCGGTGCACCCAGGTGGAGGAGCAGCTGCTCTGGAATATGGGACCGACTTTCCCAGCAACATCAGCAAGCCATCGTCATATTAGTGGTCCGCAGGATTTAAAATTGAGTTTGGTGGTCCCTGAGGTCCATAAGGTTGGTGACCCCTGATCAGTGTTTCTCAACCTTGGCAGCTATGAGATGGGTGGATTTTGACTTTCAGAATTCCCCAGCCAGCTGGCTGGAGAATTCTGGGAGTTGAAGTCCACCATCTTAAAGTTGTGAAAGTTGAGAATGACTACACTAGGATTTCAGAGAGATTTGTTGAGGATTTTATCAGTGAGATGATAAGCACAGGTAGAAATGATATGATTCCTCCGCCTAATCAAACAATCCATGCATAAATGGAGTTATATCTAGATATATTCTTGGTTTATTCTGTAAGAAGGATGGAAAGTTCAGAAAGCTGTCTATGCGTTATTTCTGATTTCCACAATCTCTTGAATTCACTCACTTACCAGCATAGGAATTCAAAGTGCTTTTCTGAATAGAGTCATATGGCATTTTGGATTCATCAGAAGGGAACCTGACGAAAAAGATCAGAGAAAAGCTAATGCACAACAGATTGAATTTTTGCCCGGAGTTTTGGCCTCTATCAGCCAACAAGTCAAAGACAACTGAATCTGACCAGGCAAACTTGTTTCTGCAATCTGCAATAAACATTTTGGCTCAGAAAATGATCCAGTATGCAGGTTTTGGAGGCTCAAAACAGGAGTTTTCATTAGAAACCACCCCCAGTTGTGGGATTTCTACTCGGACACTGCTACTCGGACCCTCCCCTTCCAAATTACAAGCATATCCCTCATGCATTTCTCTTTTAGGCTGAGCAATATTATGCAGAGCCCCAAGCATGTCAAGGCAAAGAAATTAGACGCCCAAGAAAAAGTAATATAGCCGAACCTACCGAATGTAATCATAGAGATCGTGCCATAGTTCTCCTTTGGGCACAGGAAATGCCATTTCCCGAGGCATGGGAGAGAAACCATGCAATGCCATCTTGGAATGGTGAGGCTCAGAAGAAGTCAACGCTAAAAGAAAAAGAAAGAAAGAAGGATGAGACAGATATGGTTGTTCTTCTTGATTGAAACGATACCCAGATGTTGAAAAGCCTATCTTGATATCACGATGCAAACCCTCCCCTTTCATATAAGTATTGTAATATGAATACAAGCATGCGAGGGGCAGAGTTTAAATTTTTCAGTGCCATTGTAACTTTGAATGGTCACGAAATGAATGGCTGTAAGTCAAGGACTACCTGCATCGAGGACTATCATGAAGACAGCAATCCCCGCATCCTCTCTTTCAAGACTCTCACCTGGGTCAAAGAGCAAATCGCTGGTGAAGAGGTTTTTCACCGACAGGTTGGAGCACAGCTTGACGCTTTTGAGGTGACTGTAGGTTCTGTTCAGGTAGAGGCCGAGAACGTGGCGGAGATCCAGGATTAAGCACGTCCACCGCACGTTGCTGGGGGCGAGGCCCACCAGATCTGAAGGCCCAAACGTGCCAGTTCTGAATGTCTACATTTGACACACTCACAAAAATCTCAAACCTTGTGTGCAAATGGCCAGATCTCTGATATCCAAACATTATTTTTTTTAGACAAGGAAGTAGAAGTATGGACATTCAGACAGGAAATTCCTAATTTAACGCTCACCTCAAATACAAACCACCAGGTAGCCTGAGAAAAGGCATCCATTTTTAGTTTTTGAAGACGTTTTGCTTCTCATCCAAGAAGCTTCTTCAGCTCTGAAAGGAGAGTGAGGAATTCCTTGCAGACAGCTGGTCATTTGCATCCTTTTAGAGGGTCGTTGAGGCCACTTGGAGGTGGTTTTTTTTTTTTTTTTTTTGTAAATTTTATTTGAGTTTTCACAAAGAGAAAAAAAATACAAATAAAACATCTTTTTTGAAAGTAGCGTAATCCCGGGTTACATTTCTTCGTACAGACACAAATTCAGGTTCATGCTCATTTTTATATTCTATTCCATATCTTATTACTATTTTACATTTTCTGCATAGCTTCTCCCCGCTTTTAATTTTCTCAATTTTATTTTAATTATCTCATCTCAATTCAAATCATTGTATTTATATTTTTTGTCTGTCCTGTTTCAATTATCTATTATCTTTTCTCATTAAACAAAATTTCTCCTGTAGTTACTGATTGGAGTATGACGCCTTTATATCTTTTCCCTAAAGTTGTAACATTCAATATAATACATAACTTCCATTCAGATTCTGCTTGGTACATTCTTAAAATACACACTGTATTCTTAAAAAAAGAAAAAAATATAAATGTATATAATTAAAACAACATTCCATTCCAATTCAATTCTATCATTAATATTAATATTCATTAAAGTCTTAACATCTTTAACATTACTTTTCAATTAAATATCATACTTCTATGGGAACAATTATAAGCTTTCCATAGTTAATTCCCCCCCTCTTCACTTATATTTTATAAAACATTAACTAATTATTCACTTATTTTATTCACAAACATTTCACTAAATTACACTGTTTTATCCCTCATTTTAATCATACGTTGCTTCCAATTTTCTAAAGTTATTTCTATTACTAATATAACAATACAATCTTATGTACCTTTACAGAATCCCTTTTTCAGTTAGATTTTCACCCATTATCTCTAAATAAGTCCTGTTTCTCTATATCTTGCTCCGGTCCTTTGTAACTTCTTTTCTTTTCCTTCTTCCCTCTCTTCTTCTCTGTCCCCTTTTTACCCCCTTGTCTCTCTACCTCTATTTCTCTCTTCTGTATTCCCCTTTTCTGTTGCTTTCCAGTATTATACTTATTTTTCGAATTATTTTCCTTTTCTTTGGTTGTTTTTTTAAGTCTTAAATTCTCCATTCTCTTTCCCCCTTTTCCTTTTTCTTCCCCACATAAAATTGCTTGTTCATTAAAGATGGCTTCTTCTTTGTCCCAGTCTTCTTGTTTTGCAGTCGTTTCTTGTTGTTTCTCATAGTTCCAAATCTCCATTTCTAAGAATTGAAAAACGAAGCCAAAAGAACCTTCCCTTCTTGTGCATCTTCTTTGTACTTTTTAAGTTCCATTTTCAATTCATCCAGAAGTGGTGCCATTGTATAAATTTTTAAACAACCACCCGATTGATTTTAGTCATTCAAATATAATAACCAAGAATCAAAAGATCACCAAATAATCCAAATACACGCAAGCTGTTTCTTTTTTGCTCTTTTTTTCACTTTCTCTTCCTGGGGTTACTATTTAGTTGCAAAGTTTCAGTTAAAATGTATCTTTTAGAAGTCTTGTTAAAGTTTTACTGTAGATTCTTTTTAATTCCAGGCAGTCTCCTCCCTCTTCCAGATCCTGCCCTTATTCTTTTTCTCTCCCTTCCTGCTTATGAAAAAGAAAAAATTTAATGTCCAGAAATCTTTATTATCCCTTTGGCATTTTGTTTTATTTTCAGCTTAATTGCCTATTGATGTCAAAGCGGATTTTTCCGATTTCTTATTTAAGTCTCTTAGTTGTCAGTATAGGGAAGGAGAGAGAAGGAAAAAAAAGCCAAACCTTTCCCTTTTCACTTTCCTTCTCTGCTTACGACTCTTCTTTGGGAGCGATGTTGTTTTTTGTAAGTTTAAATTCCAGAGTACCTTAGTTGTTGCTTTTACAATTAAACCCAGTCAGCCAAAACTTTCACTTCTTATCTTCCTCCTGCACATTCTTTTCCGGTCGAGTTCTCCTTTGTGGTGGCCATTTCTGACCACCATTGCAACCGCCTTCAAGAAAGGGAGTAATGGCCAGCTGAGGAGGAGAGATGCGGCTCTCCTCAACCCTGCTGGCGGTCTCCCCCCTCTTCATCACCTCTATGGGGTGGCTTAGCCCCGAAACCAGCTGGCTCGGGGCGCTCCAGCGGCGAGCCCAGACAGAAACCGTGCATGATCGCGGATTTGTCTGTCGCCGAAGCCCTTCAAATCGGAAGTCCAAGGCCACTTGGAGGTTTATCTGTGTCCTCAGGGTCACCTGTGATAGTGCTCCTGGTTCCTGTGGCCTGCAATTTTTCCCCTCTGGAAATCCATTCCTACTCCAATACCATTCAAAGGGTGTTCATCCCTCTATTATTATTCTATTCTATTATTCTATTATTGCTTTATTATTCGATCTAAAAGGATGCAAATAACCAGCTGTCTGCAAGGAATATAAATCCTTCCATTCCCCAATATCCTGTCAGAACTGAGGAAGCTTCTTGGATGAAAAGCAAAACATCTTCAAAAAGAAACACAAGAAAGTCCAGTTGCTTCCTGAAAAAGTACCTCTGGGACAGTCATGACCTGGATGACTGAGAATCTCCACAGACATCCATTTTTAGCTTCTGTTCCTGAAAATATTCTTTCCCAATCTGTTTGCCCTTAAGATAGGCTGCACTGGAATATCCATTCTACCCCTATCCTACAAATTCTACAATAGTAAAATATTCAGAGTACAAGAACGATTGTTAAGTTGATGAACAGGATGACTCAAAAGCATTATTCTAATTGCCAAAATACAGAATTCATTGATCATTTGCTAATCTCTGTTCTATCAGAGTTGAATTGTCTTGTTAGAAAAATTCACAATCCTAAACTATCAACTCACTTCTCAGGAAAGTTAGATCCAGGTTTCTAAAACCCTGGGGATAAAATTAAAGGCAATACAGTTTGTTGGATGCTGGGGGGGTGGGGGAATACCTCATAAATCTTTTTTAAAAAAAATTTATTAGACAAACACAAAAACAAAACAGAAAAGAACATTAAAAACAATGAACATGATACAATCCTCCTGTAGTTGTCTTACATTGCTAAGTCACATATAAAAATAGTGCATATTTACATTCTATACACATAATGTATATTACATTTAATCATTTCTTATTATCTTGATCCTTTCTCTTTTCTAACCAACCATAAAACTTATCCCATACTTTGTAATACTTGGATTCATCCTTATTTTTTAATTCTTTTGTCAATTTATCCATTTCTGAGCACATCCAGATTTTCCTAATTATTTCTATTTCACTTGGAGTTTCTTTACACCCCATAAATCTTGATTAGACTTTCTTTGCATTTTACCTCGCTTAGACGTCTTGGCTGTACTTTCATAGACCGACCCACGGGCTGCCCCACAAATATATGGGAACTGCAACCATGTGGCTGTGGACTTGAATTCTTTAAAGAGGTTAGAAAATGAAATGCGGACCACTTGGCTGTCCTAGAAATGAAAAAAACCAGAGTTGGTTCATAGAGACAGAATCATCATTCTGGGAGCAACAAATATTTTGGAGCTGATAAACAGCCCACAAACAATAACCAAAGCTGAATATTGTCACTTATATAGACGGTGTGGTTTCAGCCGGGAAATAAATCCTCTCCTATGCTGCTTTTCATTTTGGAGAATTTTCCACTTGCATAACTTATTTTGTTTCTGCCAGACCTATGTACTTTACATGTCTCTGTTATCTAAAGCTAAATGCAATACAGGGTCAGGATGCCAAGGAAAACACTTTGTAGTTTCATGGAGAATGCAGAATAATTTTTCCCTTCCTACTTCAGACCATTTCTTAAGGGCACAAGTGCAGAGATTAAAATATAATCTACAAGCAAGTCAGGAAAAATAACGAATCTGGTAACATCTTCTCAGATTAACAGATGTTACTGAAACAAATAAGATTATTTTAAAACATTTATTACTTTTTACTAAATAAATAAATTTTATTATTCTTTAAAATAAAATAATAAAAAGTTGTTTTAATTTTTGGTTGAGAGCTGCCCAGAGTTTGTTAATAAGTTTAGCAGCTATATAAATGTTTCAAATAAATAAAACCTGTCAATCTGATAAGGTGTTACCAGATTACTCCTGATTTTGGGCTAGCATAGATTAACCCAGCAGTTCTACTATGTCTTAGACAGTAATTCAAAAGTAATACTCAAGAAAAGTAACAGCTGCAGTATTTAGGAAAACAAATCTGCCACCCGGTATCAATCAACAACTTATAAAATACCAAACGAACAGATTGTATCAGAATTCCTAAACGGCAAGAACTACTCAACAAAAAAATCTTTAAAAAGACAGGTGGGCAAATTTCCAGGTTCCTTAGTCGTGTTCATCCTTCTCTCACTCCAGGTCTATTGGCCTGTGGGAAGGATCCTAAAAATGTTTTTGTCTTTTTTTAAAAAATTGTATTTTTGTTTGAAGTGATTATATTGGTTCAAGCATTTTTGAAAGGACAGTTTCTCTCTGCACGGTGGGGAAGAAACAATGGTAATAAATAGTGAATAAATGTTGTACTATGCATGTACCACTGTAATGCTTTCAAAAGCATTTTAATTTATGTTATTATTGTACCACGACCATCATAGAGCCAGGAAAAAACTCACACACTCACCTCAGTGGCCACATCCAGATGCACCACAAAATATTTGCCTGGTGCAGGTTTGAAGAGGATGTAGATATAGCGACCAGTGAGACCCAAAGATTGGGTGCCAGTTTTGGGAAGCTGGAGGTAGTTGCTGGCCGGAACAGCACCACTAATGCGATACACTGTCCCTTTCAAAGTCTTGTCCTGAGTGGAAGGAACAAGCAGACTTTCAAATTTGGTGTCGCATTGGAAAGCTGGTTTTGAGTAGGGGTTAAGGAATGGGGCTAGAGACTGGTGAGTTCTAATCTCACCTTGGGCACAAAGCCAGCTGGGTGACTTTGAGCCAGTCGTTTTGCCTCAGCCCTAAGAACTTCTTTTTTAATCACAACTCTTAGCAAATCTGCAGGATTTTACAGAAGTCTGGGAAAGAGGCATGTTGCATGTAAGGTCTGAACCAATCCTGAACCTCCAGTCCGTGGACCGGCACCGGTCCGTGGCATGCCAGAAACTGGGCCACACAAACAAACGAAGCCCCATCTGAGGAATGCAGGGAGCACACGAAAACCACGCTCCCTCCGGCCCGTGGAAAAACCTCTCTCCACGGATCTGGTCCCTGGTGCTCAAAAAGTTGGAGGTTTAAGGGATTAAGCCTATGTATATATAACTCTGGTGAAGTTCAGGCACCTGTAAACCATGATCTATGGCAGGGGTCGCCAACTTTTTGGACTTCAGGGACCACCAAACTCATTATTATAAATCCTGCGGACCACTAATGTGAATTTTGACTGACGTGGCTTGCTGACATTGGTGGGAGGAAGAAGGAGAGAGAGAGAGAGAGAGAGATCTGATCTAACCTTGGAGGGGAGGACTGGTTATGTTCTCTCTCTCTCTCTCTCTCTCTCTCTCTCTCTCTCTCTCTCTCTCTCTCTCTCTC